CATCTCAGCAGGGCTTTCCCTCTCCTCAAAACCCATAATCCTCAGGCCTATGTTACTCTAGGGCAGAGCTTCTCAAAATCTTTTTCCAATTCTCTCTTCCTTCTCCATTCCCTGCATTTCTAGTTGACCCACTAGTGCTGTGACTCCACCCACCATCTGCATGACTGTCACCTGTGGCCCCCTGTAATAGCCTGGTGCTGCCTTAGAAAGCACTTTGACCAACTAACATATTCTACATCATATTTGACCAATCTCTACTTGAACAGGAGTTCCATATGGCAGAGAACAGATTATTAAAACCTAGAACAGTCTCAGGTAAACAGTAGGTACTCATGAATATTTATTGAATGAAATAATTTAGCATTAGTGATTGCAGGCATATTCCAAGACTGAGCTGATTTATAATCAGGTCTGGAATCTGCTAGAACAAATGAAATGTGTTCTGTACAGGGCCATGTACAAAACCTCCATGCAGGTGATGTGCTAGGCCTGGAATTAATCTGTCTGTGGCCAGTGCTTGTCCTCTAGGGCTTCACAGACACACGTAAAAACAGACAGAACAAGATAGCATATGCCATGACTCAAATCTGCACGGCCAGATATGCCAGAACTACCGCGTAGAAGATGTGAGGCCGGAAGGGTATTACCAAAAACATGAAGAAATTGCTCTCAATTTTAGGCAATGCAATCTGAAGCTATAAATATTGCTTCCTTAGGAGTCTGGAGAAAATGGTTTAGAATGAATAAGCTTATCAACTCTGTTGTGTAAATAATATCTACTTTCCTAAAAATCCATTAAGTGAGACAATTTTCAAAGGACTTAAATGACGCAATAACCTATCTAAAGAAAAAGATCAGGCTTCATGATGTGAATAAGGAGAGGAATTTTCCAGACCTTTGACAAGATTCTATACCATTAGATGTTACTGTATAATTTGAATAAGGGCCCTGACAAAGAATTCCATACTTAGTGATCATATTTTTAAATTCTTTTTTTTTCCTTTTTGGGGGTCACACCTGGTGATGCTCAGGCCTTACTCCTGGCTCTGCATTCAGGAATCATTCTTGGTGGTGCTCAGGATACCATATGGGATGTGAAGGACTGAACCAGGTTGGCCCTGTGCAATGAAAGCACTTTATCCTCTGAACTATCTCTCTGGCCCATGATTCTATTTTTTTAAACCATTTTTTTTAATGGAGACATCAGGATTAACCATCCTGTTCATCATGCTTCTTATACATTCAGAAAGAATTCATTAGGACAGAATTCTTTCTCAAGGCACAAACATTCTCCCAGAATTTAGGACTGAATTTAAAATCAGGCTAGCAGACAAAACAAAATTATTTTATCCTTTCCATTTTCTTCCTCAGAAAATGAAGAATGTTTGGGTTGGAGTGATAGTACAGCGGGGTAGGGTATTTGCCTTGCACGTGGCCAACCCGGGTTTGATTCCCAGCATCCATATGGTCTCTGAGCACTGCCAGGAGTGATTCCTGTGTATCGCCGGGTGTGACCCAAAAAATAAAAAAAAAATAGAAAATGAAGAATGTTTTGAAAACTGGTCCTCACCTAAGTAGGTCATGCCAAAAAAATCACCTGAATCACCCTGGACTCAGGCAAGACACTATGCAGAACATAAAAGACCATGAAAGATCTTATTTCATAAAAAAATTAATTTCCTTAAAATCAAATCATTTAGCTATAACTTAACAAAGCCTAGTATATGGTAGCCAGACAATTGGTCATTTTCACATGATCTTAATCAACCCTTTACTAAATATAGTAATTACTAATATCCCTACTTCCAGATAAGGAGATTAAAGAGTCAGAAAATAAGCAATCTGTCAAAATGGTAAAGTCCAGTAGTATGTAAACTCAAATCCAGGCTTCCAGACCCAGGTTCGGGGTGCATTCAACCATAGAGAACAGAGGGAACACTTTATCAATCGTCACAGAAAATGACGGAATGATGGGAATCAATTCCAATGTAACTGAGTACATCTCTTTTGCTGAAAACGCAAGATATTATTTCCAGGAATTTGTAGGGCTTCATATAAATTAACAAAATGGTCATTTTCCATCATTTCATCTTGTGAGAGTAAGAATTTGAGAAAATGTTTAGCTCTACAGCTCTCCTCATGTAGAAGAATTTTCACACCTAAGAGAGTTGAGCTTACACTGTATGTTCCCTCATTGTATCTTGAAAATGCAGATTTGTGGAAAAACAGAGGCTTTAAGATGGCTCATGAATGCATTTGCTCATTCCAAATTTCAACATTCCAAATATTTGTAAGTGTCGAGGTCGTTGAATTGTAACTAGTACCAAACATTTCAATGGCTGTGATCAGAATATGACATTTTATCAGAGCAGTTAATAAATCTAACAGTTTTTTTCTTCAAGATCTATATATACACAGAGATACTGAACGATTCAGAACAGAAGCTGCCTGATAGTCCTTGTGATTTTCTGTGTCAATTATGGTTCTTTGTTATAAAAACATGTTCTTACTGTCATGACCTACTAAGGGCTTATAAATGGACCCAGAATTACATGTTATAAACAGAATTTATAACCACATATTAAAGCTAGAAACTCAGTTCTCCTTAAACATGCTAGTAGTACAGACTACATGAACTGAGGTAGGATTCCCACCTAGATGCAGTGCTCCAAAGAAAGAGGAGGTCCCAGGCAAACTCTGTGACAGGAATAGTCCTTGGGTGGCCAAAGCTTCACATTTTCAGGCTAGGCAGAAGCACAAGAACACTGTCCCGAGTTGTACCTGGTGAAGCAACTTCTGCTGAACACCAAGATTTTGTTCATTTTTGTTTGGGGGCCATACACAGAAGTCCGCAGGGCTTGCTCCTGGCTCTGAACTCAGGGATGACTCCTGGCAGGCTTGGGGAACCATATGGAGTGCTGAGAATTGAACCTGGGTCAGCCACCTGCCAGGCAAATGCCCTACCCTCTGTACTATCTATTGCTCTGTCCCCATGCACCGAGTTTTTTTAAATGTTGTTTATCCTTTTATGAATGAAGTATCTGAATCAGCCCCCTGGCTTAGTCAGTATTGAAACAGATGGAAAGACACCAAAGAGCTCAAATAAAGAGCGCGCAATCTCTCAGGACCCCAGAAGGGTTAATGTCAGGGAACTGCTCTTGTCCTTCCCAAACCGCCAGCCAGCAATTCTGCTAGTGCACAACGTTGGTTTTGTTCTTGTTGTTGTTGTTGTTGTTGGTGGTGGTGGTGTTTTTTATTTTAAGTATCCCTGGAGAATCCCATAACCCAGAATTATTTGGAACCCTGAAGGCATCAAGAGCCTTAAAAAAGGCAGTTGGTGGGGCCAGAAATACAGCTCTTGCCTTGCATGCCGCTGACCTGGGTTCGATCCCCAACGGGCATGTGGATCCCGGTATAATCCACACAGGGCAATGGGGTAAGCCCCATGCTGGTGGTGTATCCCCCCCCCCCCCCACACACACACACAAAAGAACCACAAATAACAAAACAGCAATTCGTTCCGGATGGAAGTTACCAGGAAAACAAACAGGTACACCTCATCTATTTGGCTAATTTAGCTGTACTGATACCAAGCTGCGTTCTTTGCAACATTTGTTATGTGAATGTGCTGGGGCAAGGCGGCCTTTCTTAATTCGTCTCTTAATTCATCTCTCCTCAAAAACAGAGTCCTAAACCATGGCAGCTTTGCTAGAGGGAAACTGAGTTCAGCAGTGAAGGACCCTTCTTCCCTCAAGTGGCCTCTGCTATGGAAGTTTCGCCATGGTATTTATTTATTAGAAACCTAACTTTACCTGCACAAGGTTCTGCAAGAGCAAATTTTACCCTGAAGACATAATGAACTTCAACAGACATGGGGTGGTGGGGGGGGTGTGGAGTAGGAAAGGGAATTAGCAGGGAAAGGAGGTAACCAATAATCAGATTCTGAAGCAGGAGAGGAGAGCAGGGTGCTTAAAAGTGGGAGAGAGACTGCCTCCCTCCTGCCCATCTTTCTAGCAAACCTAGCCCCTTTCCAATGAGCAGGTGAGGTCTGGGAAGGAATGGAGGAGTCTTGTCCACTGGATGTCTCCACTCTGGGAGGAGAAAGCAAGAGACACCTTCAGCCTGACAGAGGTGCATCCAAGAGACCTAGTTGTCCAGCAGTCAGACGCTCAAAATCTCAATAGGATCAAAGCGTGCCTCTGAGCTACGACTCTGGCATCACCCTTGCCTACGGACTGATCCTTGCTTGAAAAGAAGCAACCAGGACTTCAAAATGATTTTTAAGCGAAAGACCATGCGGAGAGCAAGGAAGCCCACGAGAGGGATCTCTTGCAGATGGGCAGGGTGGGAGAAAAAGGTCATTCTCAGTTGGGTTTTTGTTCGTTTGTTTGCTAGCTCTCGTTCCTCGCTGATCTTAACTGCAAAGCCTGGAATTCGAGCAGGAACCCGGTCGGTTTCTACAGAGCCTCCCGGGTGCGGGCAGGTACACGTTCCTAGGCACTGTCCAGGCTGAGCAGTGACACCCTCTCTTCCTTCCTCCACCGTCGCCCCATCAGGGGCTGAACGTTCCTCTGGCTAACGTGCCTCTCCGCCCCTCCGCTCCCCCTACCCCAGAATGATGATCCTCAATTTCAGATCGGATTGGAAAACCTGAAACACGGTTTGCTTCCAAAATAGGAAGCCCCCCACCAGAGCCCTTAGCCTTTCCTTCCCTTCCTCCGAGCGCCCTCGATGATTCCGGTTGGAGCGAGACCCCCGCAGCGGCGGGGCGCACCAAGGCGGGTACCCAACCAAGCTTTGTCCTCCGCACCCAGGCACCGGGACCCTCGGGAAAGAAGCACACCCCCTCCCGACCCCACCCCAGGCCCGAGCTTCGGGAGCCCAAAGCCAGGAGGCGCGGGGGGCCCCGGGTCCGGCGATGCCCACCCGGCGCGCGGCCCGGGCCCCGGGAGCGCGTGGGGCTGCGCGCGCGTCGCCCACCCGCCCGCCGCGCCGCTCACCCAGCACCACCGCGGCCACGGTGGACAGCAGCAGCCAGTTCTTCGCGAGGAAGCGCTTCCAGTCGCATCCTCTCCTCGCCTGCTTGCCCATGGCTGGGGGCCGGGATGCGAGTCGCCGCGGCCGCGGTCCCCTGGGTGCGCGGTGGCCGGGGCGCGTCGCGCGCGCGCGCCGCTGCGCCGCCGGGCTCGGGCCGGGAGGGAGAACGGGGAGCGGTCCCCGGGCACGGGGCGCACGCCGGCTGCCGCAGCCCACGCTGTCCCCGCGCTGTCCCCGCCAAAGCCACCCGAGCTCGCGCGCGGCGCCCGCAGACAGTGCCCGCTCGGTGGCGGCGCGCGGCGACCGCGCCAGGCTCCTCCCGCCGCCGCGCTCCGCGCTCCGGGGACCAACCAGCGAGGCGCAGGGGAGGAGCGGCGGGCGGCGGGGAGGCGGCGGGGCCGCCGTCGCGTGCGTGGGTCGCCCGGGTCCGGGTGCAGCGGGCGTGGGAGGACTCCGGGCGCAGCGCTGGAAGCCCCGCCACCCCCCTGGAAGCTTGCGCCCCGCCCCCGCGCTGCTGCAGTCTGGCCTTTTGATTTTTATTTTATTAATTACTTTTTTTTTTTTTTTTTTTTTTTTGCTTTTTGGGTCACACCTGGCGATGCACAGGGGTTCCTTTTGGTTCGTGCACTCAGGAATTACTCCTGGCGGTGCTCAGGGGACCATATGGGATGCTGGGAATCCAACCCTGGTCAGGCAGCGTGCAAGGCAAACGCCCTACCCGCTGTGCTATCTCTCTCTCCAGCCCCTGCAATCTGGCCTTTTCTTCTTTTTCTTTTTGGGTCACACCTGGCGATGCACAGGAGTTACTCCTGGTTCATGCACTCAGGAATTACTCCTGGCGGTGCTCAGGGGACCATATGGGATGCTGGGAATGAACCCCGGTCAGGCCATGTGCAAGGCAAACGCCCATCACTCCAGCCCCACTCTGGCCTTTTTGTTTATTTATTTATTTGCTTTTTGGGTCACACCCCGCGATGCACAGGGGTTCCTCCTGGCTCTGCACTCAGGAGTCACTCCTCGCGGTGCTCAGGGGACCATATGGGATGCTGGGAATCCAGCCCCGGTCAGACCGCGTGCAAGGCAAACCCCTCCCCGGCTGTGCTCTCTCTCCAGCCCCTGCAGTCTGGCCTTTTTTAAACATTTCTCGCACCTTCTCCCAGTCAGGCTAGATTTGGAGCATTTCCTCCTCGCTCTCACCCTGAGACCTCAGACTCTGCCCACCCATTGCACTCCCTTGGCTTCCCTCCACACCAGGCACAGACCTAACGACGTGGTACCCGTCCCGGGGAGCTGGGGGAAATTGAGCTCGACCCCTTATTTTTGGCGCACGCCGCGGCAGCATCATGTTAAGAAAGTAGAAAGTGCTGAAATAGAGCAGGCATCCTGAATGCTCCCACGAGTCCTATAATTCACCGCCCACCCTCTACGTCCAACCTGGAATTAACTCTCCTCTTTGTTTTGTGTGTGATTGGGGGGGGACGGGCACACCCAGCGATGCTCAGGGCTTACTCCTGACTCTGTGCTCAGGGATCACGGTGGGATGCTGAGGATGGAATCTGGGACCCCAAGTGCAAGGCAAGCGCCCTCTCCACTGTGCTATCTATCGCTCAAGCCCCCTTAATTCCCGTCCCTGAATGGTGGGAGGTAAAGCCAGAGGGCTGAGTATAGGCAAAGGGCTTGGAATGGTTGCTCTTGGAATTAAACGTCTGATCATGGTTGCCAAAGGCCCTCAAAGCTGTGGACCATGTTAATTAGGACGGAGGACTAGATGGAGCTGTTTGGGAGAGCAGGTGAGTCTATCACTAAGGCCACAGAGCCTGGGAAGGCCCACTGAGGTGAGTCCGAGAAACTAATCCAGATAAAATGCACTCTGCGGCTCAATTCGTTTTCTCTCTTGCATTCGTTTCGAAAACCTTCTCCTTTACCCCATCACTACCTCTGCAGCTCTAGGCTGTCTTCACCTCAGCTCCGGCTTGTCCTACTGTGGGATCTAGTCTCTGATTTCAGGGAAGCTGGGGAAATTATCCAGACTCTAGTTTCTGACGACTAACTGCAGAGTTTTTTTTTTTCTGAAGTATAATTTTATTTATGTGAAATTTTTTTTATTAGATTTTTTTTTATTAGTGAAACACCATGAGGTACAGTTGTAGATTTACAATTTTTTGTGCTTGGGTTTCGATTATACAATGATCAGATACCCATCCCTCCACCAGTGCCCATTTTCCACCACCATGGATAATATCCCCCCACCCCATCCTCCCATCCCCCCCTGCCTCTGTGGCAGGGCAATCCCCTGTGTTCTCTCTCTCCTTTTGGGTGTTGTGGTCTTAACTGCAGAGTTTTTGACCTAAACTGATAAACTTCTCTTTAAGGAGAAAATTAACGAATGAACCATGTTAACTTCAATATGAATACATTTATCAGCTTCCTTCTAGAAAGTACATTTTGAGAGGAGGTATGATCAAGAGAAAGACCAAAGCATGGTGTGGTTGAGGAAGGTTTTATGAGGTTTGAGAAACTTGAAACTACCAAGAAAGACAGGAAAAAGGTCATCTTTGCCCCACTGTGAGAGCTGCTGGAACGGTCAGAGGCCAACATGAAAGAAACTGAGTGATGGAACTGCTGTGTAATGGTACACCTCTTGTACCTTATATAAAGAAAGTTTATGACAGTTCTAATAGCATGGGATAGACCATGTTACATTATGGGAGGGGAGGATATTGCATATACACTTTGATATTGTCTATATACTTTGAACACAAACATATCTCTTGATCACTTGATATCCCCTTACTCATCGATTTGCTCAAACGGGCGCCAGTAGCATCTCCATCTGTCCCTGTCGCGTGCTAGTGTAGCCCAATGTCATCTGTTCGTTCTAGGAACACGAAGAGCCTCAAACCGATCGTTCAGGGCCTTGACCTGAACGATTTAGAGATGACTGCTGGACTAGAGCCATTACCGACTGGATTCCACGGGACATCAAAAGATTGCGTGGCCGCCCACCTATGAGATGGTCAGACTTCTTCGTCAAGAACACAAATATATAAAATATAAAGCAGAACCATGTATTTAGAAAGTCTATATAAAATAAATATATAAAGCAGAACCATGTATTTAGAAAGTCTAGAAGGAAATCAAAATTTATTTTTGTTGATCGAGGCACTGTGATTTATAATACTGTTAATGATGAGTTCCACACCCATCAAATATATATATATATATATATGTGTATACATATCACTGTCACTGTCCTCCCGTTGTTCATCGATTTGCTCGAGTGGGCCCAGTAACGTCTCTATTGGAGACTTTTGTTGTTATATATAAATATATTTCACAACTTCTTGATCTACTCATCCACAGTTGGGCACTTGGGTTGTTTCTATGTCTTGGCCTTTAAACTATGTGCTGCAATGAACATAGTTGTGCATATATTACTTTGAATTAATATTTGTTTTTTGTATTTTAGTGATAGATGCCAAGTAGTACCACTGGGTCATATGGAATTTCTAGTCCTATTCTGAGAGAGCTCTTCATATTGCTTTACATAGAGGCTGAACCAGAGGACATTTCGTACAACAGTGGATAAGGAGAAAACAAACCAAAATTTTGATAATAGTCATCTATGATATATTTTTTGAATATTTTTCCTGTGTTCTCATATTTTTCCAAGCATCTAATGCAAGTATAGTCACATCCTTTACAGTTATAGTAAAATTGAATTTACTACACAGGGGTTATGCAATTAACTTAGAAAGCTCGAGCTTACCAGGCACAATCAGGCTAAGTATCTCCGAGAGCAGCCCCCGGGCTCTCTGTGCACTTCTTATGACCTCCCACCCACTCCCCCTCTCACACACACTAAAAACTAAACAAGTCCTGAAGACAGAAAAAATGCAAACACCTAAGATGAAGTTGTGCCCCATAACCTTTTTAAGTGAAGTAAGACACTTCTGCTTGAGTTGGGGGATGGGCGATTTATGTTTAAATCCCTCCTACCATCACTACCAGCTGGATAATACTTAGCAGGTGGCTTCATTTTTTGTGCCTCAGTGTCTTCAGCTTTTAAAGGGAGGGTATACTAGCATTTCCTCATGGAGGCACTGAATATAATAAGGTGAATGACAGCCAAGAACAGTGCTTGACACACGACTGCCATCACTCCTTTTCACTTGGACTCGACCTCTGCGGGCATCTTCTAATTTCCCCTCTCATGGCCTGACTGTTCTGAACCACTTCAGACCCTCAGAAACCCTTCCGTATTCATCAATTGTAATTAACACTTTGGAGTGTCAGTGAAGCTAAATCTGTTGTGCTCTCATACCTAAAATTCATATCGTGCAGACTCATTTGTATCTTTCTAATAATTAGTGCTATTTAAGCAGTGAGATGAAAAGATTAATAAAATCTAAATAATCTTGAGATGTAAATTTCTCTTTGGATTTTATCTTGAAGGAATGAAAATCTTCCAGTTTCAAGGTAAAAATGAAGAAATTAAAAAGTTCTAAGTGGTTCAGCCAAGTAAATGATAAACTATGTTGATGATTCTGCTATGTGGAAGTTCTATTAAACTGGTAATCAAGATAAATTAAGATTTCTCTTTATATTTATTATATTATATTTATATTATTTTATAATAGTCATATTATCTTTATATTTATAAAAATAATATTGTAAAGCACTTATCTTGTGTAAGAAATTATTTAAATCACTTTACACATACACACCCCTTGGATTCCCATAAGTTAAGGACGCTGGGTCTCTTGTTACCTCCTGGGGCTATTAGAAGAATCAGTTCCCTGCACAATATTGTGGCGGTGAGGCACCATGGCTGTCATATCAACTGGCAACCCATTGCCCACTCCCAATTTCGAAAAAACTTGAAAAGATTCCCTGGTGCTAGGAAAAGCTAACATACTCGCCTGAGGTTTACAGTCTGGAGTATGTGACAACCTCTCCCTGGGAGAAACCAACTCAAGAGATTCTTTTTATTCTATTCAGCCCAAACAGAAACTTCTTAGTTTTGAGCTCATGAGGCCCTTGCCCATGGCTGGACAATCTCGGGCAGGAAGAATAGAGACAGTGTCAGCGTCTTCTTCACTACCATATTAAAAATGCATATAAACACAACCCCAGGGACATTTCTCTGCCATTTTCTGTACATGTAATGTGTGCTGGTTGTTTGCTTTGTTTACCTTATCCCCTTAAGAGCAAGCATGGTGAGTGAAATGAGTCAGAAGGAAAGGGAT